ATTCCACAGATGTATGCATGATTTAGACCACCCTCCTAATCTCATTCCACTAGCTACCATTTGATGTCTATATCAAGTTTAAATTCAAGGTGCCTCACTGTCATGTGAACAGTGTTGTCAGCATCTTCATATGAAGGTACTTCTCTGAATAAAGGCTCAAAATTACAATCTTGCCTCTTTTTCTGGCCTTGTTCATGGAACATGGTATTGCAGGGAAATGACCATGAAGAAAACATACATGTTTCATTAAGTAAAATGTATATATGGGGCCACTGAGTATATACAGGGCCAATGAGTAAATATGGGGCCACTGTGTATTCAGTTCAATTCAATAAAAAAAACTTTATTTGTCCCCCAGGGGCAATTAAACGCACACAGGGTAGCTGAACAAAGGACACCATGAGTATATATAGGGCCAACGAGTATATATGGGGCGAATGAATATATAAGGGACCAATGAATATATAAGTGGTCACTGAGTATATACAGAGCCAATGAGTAAATGCAGGGCCAATGAATATATAAGGGGCCACTGATTTTAAAAGCAGGCCTACTAAATATTTACGGCTCCACTGGTTATATACGGGATTACTGCGTATTTATGGGGTTGTATACTATTTCTTTTCTAGTGAATTATTTTGTTATGTATTATAAGAATAAATATTTTATGAGTATCCCACCAACACCACTGAGACAGACATGCCGCACATGGTGTGTATGTGGGAGCAGCACAGAGAGCACAGCTGGAGCAGCACAGAGAGCACAGGCAATGTGAGCATACATTAGCATAGAGGGACAACTCCATATATCTGATGTTATTTGGCTCTCTTTGCACAATCTGTATGTCAAGCACGTTTCGGTCAAGATTTGCTCCTCGTTGTGTAATGCATTAAGTGCTAATCCGTTCCATAGTGTGTGATCTTTCAGCCAAATCAGCTCCCCTAGAAAGTCCTTGTTTCACTCACGCCACCCTGCTGCAAGGGTGGAAGCTTCAGGTCAAGAAAGCAAAAATCCAGACCAAGATTTTGTTGCAACCAACCAGTTGAGCATAAAGAGTCATAGAATACTGAACTGGGTGGTTGAAATAAAATCTTGGTCTGGATTTTTACTTTCTGGACCTGAAATGTCCACATCTGCTCAGCTGTGAGTGTAACCATGATGACACCTATAGGCATAAAGTGACCTTGAGATGTCCGGCCTCCAAGAGGGTGGATGACGGGGACAGGATACACATCCACTCCATCCTTTTCACATTCCACCCCACATTTCCCTTTGCAAAGTAATGTATGCAAATTCCCATATGTTTATTCATTTTCAGCAGTCTGTCAGCTGCAGGCCAGAGACTTCAGCCTGTCACCCTCACCTGGCTGCCAGATCAGTGGGGTGCTAATGCGTCTCCATCTTAATATGCTTAGGGTGAAGCTTCAGGTGTCATGCAAGCAGATCCCATGAACATTATGGAAATATCCTCTTAGTCAGTACAGTGTTATTAGAAAGTTTGTGGACCCTTTAGCATTTTCTTTATTTCTGCATAAATATCCTCCTGAGATCCAGCCGTTCATTTCTGTCCTCTGTAGAGGACATTATGTATATGATATATATATATATATCTTTCACACTATACATGCCACTCGGTTATGTCCTGTTCTTATGTAAAGAGAATGGTTTTGTGTAGGGGTGTGATCTTCCCAACTTCCTCTTTCCATCAAGTCAAAATTTTAATCGATATTTTAAAAAAATATTTTTTTCCCCCAGGATAAAACAAAAGAGATGATGGTTGTCTTCAGGAAGGTCCACGCACACTGAGGGTTCTGCGGTGGAGTTGGTCAGGAGAACCACATTCCTTGGAACACACGTGACAGCCGACTTCACCTGGACCCTCAACACCTCCTCCTTAGCCAAGAAGGCACAGCGTCTCTATTTCCTTCAGTGACTGACGAGGGCAAATCTACCTTCCCCCATCCTTACCATGTCCTACAGAGGAACCTCTGAGGGTGTCCTGACCGGCTGCATCACTGTCTGCTTTGGGAATTGCAACATCTCCGACTGCAAGACCCTACAATGGATAGTGAATGCAGCCGAAACCCCCTACCCTGCACTGAGGACAACTTCCTCACGCTGCGTCTGCAAGGCCTCCAGCATTATGGAAGACCACTCCCTTACTGCCCCCCTCCCATCTGGCAGAAGGTACAGCAGCATCCAAATGGCTGTTAGAACATTGAGGTCTTCACCAGCCAATTATAAACCTGGTTTACCACCAGCACTAGCCACCTTATCCAGTGGTCACTGCCCAACACTGCACCTTTTCCTACATCTGTGTCATATCTGTTGTATTTGTTCATTTATTATTTATTCACATTTTTAATCAAGACTTCTAAAGTCTCCACCAAATCTGTAGTACTGTGTGGGTATGCCCAGCGTCCCTGTGGGCTACTGCATGTATATTCTCTACTAATTATATTTATTAGCTATTTTTCTCCTTTTCCTCTTTCCCTCATATCTTGCATTTGTCTTCTTTACAGTTTCTGCACTATGTATATATCTACACTGCACCCCAGTCCTGAAGACCTTTATTTTGTACCACTGGATGCTGCGAATTCTATATTTAGATGACCCACTTGATCAGATTTTCATGGAAGTCCTAAAACTTGATACAGAGAACCCATTTAAACAATAACAATAATGACATTTCCCCTGTGGGGAGATTCTCTTCTCTCCTTCCCCATCTTGCTCTCCATGACACATCACACTTGAGTATTCTGCCAACATCAGGCTTGAACTGGTCACCATCTGATCACAGATACTGATGCTCAAATACATGAAAACTGCCGCACGCGACACAAAATGTTTTTCTTGTTGCTTTATTTGTTGAGGAAAATAATCCGGTGTTACATATATATGTGTGTGTGGAATAGGAATGTGACCCTTTACTGTCAGTAACTGGTGTGACCCCATTGTTCAGCAATAACTTAGAAATGAAATGATTATGCTTTATTGACCCCTGTGGGGAGATTCTCTCTTCACCTTCCCCATCATGCTCTATGTAAGTGACAGCAAGCATGGCAGTGAAGTGCAGCCACCTGTAGTGTTGCCCAGGGGGCTGGAGGTTAAGGACCTTGCTGAAGGGTCCATAGATGCACCAAGGCTGGGCTTCAACTGGCAGCCTTCTGATTACAGACACAGAGGCTCAGCTCACTGAGCCACATGCTGCCCCTTTGACTAAATGGTTCCAGTCCTGCACATCGCATTGGCGGAACCGTAGCCCATTCCTCCTTACAGAGCAGCTTCTCTCAGGGACATTGGTGAGCCTCCTCGCATGGACTGCTCACTTCAGGTCCTTCTACAACACTTTTATAGGTTTAAGGTCAGGATTTTGACTTCCAGAACATAAACTTTCCTCTGCTTTAACCATTTTTTGGTTGAACGACTGGCGTGTTTAGAGTTGTTGTCTTGCCTCATGACTCACTTTCTCTTGAGATTCTTGTAGAACTTGCTGGTCCCATTCAGTATTCATTGTTCCATCAATGACTGTAAGCCATCCTGATCCCATTCAGTATTCATTGTTCCATCAATGACTGTAAGCCATCCTGATCCCATTCAGTATTCATTGTTCCATCAATGACTGTAAGCCATCCTGATCCCATTCAGTATTCATTGTTCCATCAATGACTGTAAGCCATCCTGATCCCATTCAGTATTCATTGTTCCATCAATGACTGTAAGCCATCCTGATCCCATTCAGTATTCATTGTTCCATCAATGACTGTAAGCCATCCTGATCCAGAAGCAGCAATGCAGGCCCACACCATGATACTGCCACCGCCATGTTTCACAGATGGAATAAGGTTCTTATGCTGCAATGCAGTGTTTGCTTTTTGCTAAACAAGAAGTTTCTCCAAAGCCAAATCCATGTAACTTTTAGAGAAACATCAGATGGATAGCAATGTTCTTCTTGGAGAGTGGTGACTTTCTCCTTGCAGCCCTGCTCTGTACACCATTGCTGTTCAATGTTCTCCTGATGGTGCGCTCATGAACACTGAACCCTAACCCTTAGATGTTACTCAGGTTCTTTGTGAACTCCTGGACTATTTCATGCCTTGCTCTTTGATTGATCATTGTTGGTCAAACCACGTCTGCGGAGGATAACATAATGGTATTGAATATTCACTATTTGTACATAATCTGCCTGAGAATTGGTGGAATCCAAACTCTTTAGAAATGGTTTTATAACCTTTTCCAGCCTGGTGACCATCAACAATTTGTTCTGAGGTCCTCAGAAATCTCCATTGATCAAGCCATGACACAAATCCACAGACCTCTCTTGTGAAAATCAAACTTTGATCTCTGAGAAAAGACTCAGATTTATGTTCTTTTAATATGGCCAGGCCTCCCACACTCACACCTGATTGGCTTTAAATAAGGCTGGGCCTCCCACACTCATACCTGATTGGCTTTAAATAAGGCTGGGCCTCCCACACTCACACCTGATTGGCTTTAAATAAGGCTGGACCTCCCACACTCACACATACATGTAACATTGGATCATTTCCCTCAATAAATAAAGGAACAAATGTAATGTTTGTGTCATTTGTTTAATTGGGTTCTTTTTATCTAATTTTGGGACTTACGTGAAAGTTTGATCACAGAGGGTTCACAAACATTCTAGCACCGTTGTAGCAGTTCCCCCCAATACAGAAGTATGACTTTGCCGTCTGTCCATCTGAAGAGAGCTGCTAAACATCTGAATGAGGCTCCTCAGGTCAGGGCTTCTGCCCCTGTGCTTCCACCAAAGAACCTGAAACATCCAGGACATTCTTTGACGTTTTGGACGTGGTTCCCCACGGGGTCCTCCAGCTATAAGGCACACGTCCTCAGACTGCAGCAGGAACCTGCGCAGACTCCACACAGAACCTGAGGGAACGATGCCTCCCTGCTTAAACGCAAGGGATTAAAATCTCAGCTCAAAGAGCGACACCTTAAAACACCGACAGTCACATCAATACGCTTCATCTGCACTTTTAATAAAACGAACATTTTATCCTCACAACAGCAATGTCTGGACAAAAGAGGAAGGTATGAGATTGGCTGATTGGCCGTTTGCTGGTATGATGTGAATATTTCAGAGCATTCTGCAATGGGGCTGTGACAACAGTAGGGAAGAACCAAAATACATGCCCCCCGACTTCCTTTGCTTTCTATATGTATGAATGCTTAATTAATGCAGAAAACTCTGTGTACCACACTCAACCCCCACAATACATACAAATAAAATTAAATAAATTCATTCAGTCACAATATAGCAAACCTAATTATCTACACTATACACAACAATCTCTTGTTTAATTTTGATTTTCCCTGTAGTCTATTACTTTCATTTCACATACATTTCCCCACACGTTCCCCCACACGTTCCCCTGTCCCGTAACCCCTTCTTCCCATCTCCTTTCCTGTCTGCAACAGTCCACCATGGCACATTTTCTTAAAATGACCCCAGAAACATTCCTCCAGTACTCCACTTTCTCTGCCCAATGTATAAAACCTCCCCTCTAGTATGCTAATATGAGCACACTTTTAAACACCAGGCACGAACAATGTATGTACAGAAGACCCCTCTTTGAAAAAAAGTTAAAAAAACAAGCCCATTCCAAGTACAATGGACAGACGTAAGGTAAGCCTGTGTGTCAAAAAGTCATTTGAGAAGCTTCTGCCGTCATCCAGGCCATCAAAAAGTGTCCAAGTTGGTCTGAGGCTTCGGCAGGTCCTGTCAAGGGCTTCAGAAGTAACTCCTCAGAGGTGGGGGAGCCTGACAGTTACAGATGGCGGGGGCTTGGGTGCCCGTTGTGATAGAGCTTCTGTTTAATGTGCACCATGTTTCCGCTGGAGTCCTCTAGCTGGCCCAACTCTGCACCCCTGCGCAGCTCTCGGAGACTGCAGAACCGCGGGATCCATGTCCAAGAAGGTCCATCTGAGGGGTTTCAGGGCACAGTAGAGAGAAGAAAGGCCAGTGAGAAATATGGACGAAAAGATGAAAAGAGTGAGAACATCAGGTAACGGATGGGTTCCATTGTCCATTTTTCTGCAGACTGACTTTCTCAGTAGCATTTTCATTAGGCAAAGCTTAACATGTATGTGTATGTGCATGCGTGACCACAATTAAATGATGCTGTTATTTGTATTATTATATTATTCTCTTGTTCATTTCTCAGGTATTAATTTGGCATCAGTTTATCCAGGGAACGGTAGTAGACCGCAGGTAAAAGTCAATGAATATCCAATACTGTAAATCACGTTTAAAAGAAAATTTCAGAACATCATTTTCAAATTAAGAGAAATTAGGTAAATTTTAGTAAAATCTGGGAGTCTGGACTACAAGAACCACAGAAGCACGACAAAAAGGTAAAGAAATCGAGAAATGCAATCGAAAGGGGCGTCATATCCCAGATCTGTGGGATACAGACATGCTGCAAGACTAAGGTCTTTCCATGGAGGACGGTGGCTTGGATTCCATGGCTGTCATGATGTTTGGAAGGCAACTGTGTTTGAGGAGATGCCAAGAGAGCCTGAATAAAGCTTCCTCCATTCATTCCTGTTACTGCATCCTCTATTTTGCCAGTTTGATGGATGCTGCCTCATTCAGTGGGCAAGTAAAGCCTGGTCTGAATTAGGAATGAGCTCAGCAGATGGCGGATATAGGGGAATGTGAGGGAAGCCACATGGAGGATGAAGGAGCAAGAGGAATATCGAGCTGAAAACAAAGGCAAGGATGCCGTTTCGTAATCCTTGATGCGGAGTGTAAATGCGCGAGCCTGTGTGTGGAAGGGAAGACTTTCATGTGTCTGACTCTCTCTCACCAGCTGCCGCTCCTCACTGGGCTATTTATAGCTCACAAAGACAGAAAGCGCAGGAGTAAGAGTGTTTGTGCATGTGTGTGTCGTCTGTATGGAGTGTGTGTCTCTCCTCCGTTCTCCCTCTCCGGCGGTCTGTCACACACTCCGCACTTCTATAGGGACTATGACCCGTCAGTAGCATCAAACGTTCTAGGAACCTGAAGATTAACTTGACGTAGGAAAATGTATCTCTAGTATATGATCACAACCCAGTTAATAATACTAGTTTGAGATCCTTGCCTGAAACGGCTCTGCATGTTTAGCAGGCCTCTCCACCAAACTAATGATCCCAAATGCCTGTAAAACAGATTCTGGCAAAGCAGAGTCACATTCATCTTGAGCAGGACATCCCCACAAAGCTGACATAGCAATAATGAGTAACAGAACAGCAGTGCATCTTTGTGTGTGCAGAGTAGAACACTTATAATAAATCTACGGGTTTTTCTTTAGGGACGACAGCCCAGCATGCTTTAGCCATAGGCCACAAACTCTCTAGCTGTCTATCATCTCCCACCAACAACAAATAACATCTAGCACTGAAGTAACGTTTGCTATACATGCCACCTATCCGTGTTCCTCTCAGCTGCCATCAGACTCCACCCCAGCTCCCTGTAACTTAGCATCTGTCCATGTTTGCTCACTACTGCCAGCTGGCCTTGCTAGTTCACAGCCCACATGCAGGTATTATCAAGCTCTGGAAACCAACATTTGCAGCATCCATCAAATTGCCAAGCTTTGCGCATCATGAGTTATATCAGGCAAATTTTCACTTTCCTTGCACGCAGACAAAACCTATGTGGTGATTGTCCACTAATTCGTTTAATGTCAGGAATATTTTAAAGACGCAAAGCTGTCATAGAGAAGAAAAGATACACATTTTCACATAAGAGCTTCATATCCTAGACACATCAGGAGACTCTGTTTCTACATCTTGTCGAGTTAATATGAGAGTCATTAACAGAAGTGACTTTTTGACTATGACTATGAATGACTTTGAATGACTATCCCACTCTTACAAAACATGACTTAGTTCTGCAGCCCGAGTCAGCTCCCTACACTCACTGACACCTTCTGCACTCTGAGTTCCATTGACTCAACAGTGCTGCTTTCCATTGTCCTCTTCATGTCGCCTCCTCCAAGGAGCACCGCAGACCTGCTCCTACTCATCCCACACCTCTGAAGGTGCTCCGATCCCCCACTATACTTACCGTACGGTCCGCTGCTCCTCCAGGCTCGCATGGCACAGTGGAGAGCCCCATCCAGCCAGAACAGCAGCCAGCTGATGCAGAAGCCCAACAGCAAGCCTAACATCAGGTCCATCTCCTGCTTGGTCACACTCTCACTCACAAAGTAGTTCTCGGATGAGTCCACCAGAGACTGGTCCCCATCATAAGGAATCACATAGTGAACGTGATGCCTGCAAGAAGGTAATGTTGGGAGAGATGTTTTTCATAATATATGAAAACAGCAGAAGAGGTGATGCCATGCAGTGTTGGCCACAAGTGTAAGAGGGGCGACCGGAACAGTCTTTGTCAGCTGAGCCGACAGGACCTAACAGAGTCGAGATGGTCGACTGACCCCAGCTGCATAACACAAGTGCAAGATAAACGGACACTGCGCTAGGAAACAAGATGACGGCTAGAGGCAGCGCAGGGAAGAGGACGGCTAGAGGCAGCGCAGGGAAGATGACGGCTAGAGGCAGCGCAGGGAAGATGACGGCTAGAGGCAGCGCAGGGAAGATGACGGCTAGAGGCAGCGCAGGGAAGATGACGGCTAGAGGCAGCGCAGGGAAGGTGACGGCTAGAGGCAGCGCAGGGAAGATGACGGAGGGTGACATTAACAAAAAAAAAAAGTCTCAGAAGGAACAAGTTAAAAATGATGAGCTTGCCATTAATGGTTTGATTCCATTGTCTGTACATGTTAATTGGGCCTGTATGTTCATGTATAGATGCCCCCCTTCACTTTTTACCCTTTCAGGTGTTTGAAGGCAGGATGTCAGCATGAAGGGAGCTTTACGTTTTCCTTCGTATCTTCAGTAGACCTGTTATTACATCACGGAGGCAGCTTGGTGTAATCTCACATCTCCAGGCCTTGGCTACTGACACATGTCCCTAGTGCTGTGTGTGTGTGTGTGTGTGTGTGTGTGCGTGCACAAAACGGCATCTCTCCATGTTCTGTAATGGTCTGGTAACCTGTCCTGTGTGCTCTCTCACTGCGATCCTGTTCAGGATGGCTGGTATGGAATATGGATAGATTGTTTTACCTTTGATATTGAAAATGACAATATCAATGATAAAGTTTATCAGTATGACATATATTTATACAAGACATGTCAGGGATTGATAAATCACTCCTGTCTTAAATAGCTTAAATGAGATGAGTATAAAACATTGAGTAACAGAACACAACCAAACAATATTCAGAAGGTATACTATAGATGGAAGGTACACATACTCTTTACATGTAAAACACTACATTTTCATTGCAACTACTGATGCTGTAATTGTGTTGATGACCTGTTTGAATGCACACACTGCATGCACTCTGTAATTAATATAAACAATAGCAGCACGACACTCTGCCACATGGGACAGATGTGAAGTAGGGACATCAAACACAAATAGCTCTACCGACATTCCTGTAGTATATCATGTACCATACAACTTTTAAAATGAACTGAACAAACATTAAACACAATAAAATTTGCAGTGTGTCGACAGAGAGCAACATCAGCTAAAATCCCAATCCTAAAACCTATTGCATTTGATGATTGAATTCTAGTTCACTTTTTAGAGCAAAAATAGCATTATTATGTCAAAACTCGAGGACTTATAAAAACACCATCAGTTTTGGTCTATATTTTGTATAGTTGTACATTTATAACACCTTATATTGACAAATAAAACCCTGTTTTACTGTTGCACAACGATCAATTCCAACTACACACTTAATTTATATAAATAGGAGAAAGATTTACCTAATAGTCCCTTCTCACAATTCAAGTGTTTAACCTTCTTCATGAAATCCGGTATACCAATACTGGTCTTTTAAATCACATTAAGTCTGGAATTGGGAACCCAGTCAACCACTCTCTCCTTTTTCTCATACTTCGTATACAGGGGATTTGGACCATGGGGAAAGTGTGTGTGTGGGGTGGGGGGTGGGGTTGGGGGTTGATTGAGGGCCCGGGCATACTACTGTGTCCAGGGCCTGAAATTTAGTGCCACATATATATGCATCCATAAATGCAGTAAGTCCCACAATAACCATGTATACCATGAAGGAGAAAATTAGTGGAATCAGTGAATGCTATTCCCTATGAGATGTTATGGGCCTCGATCATCTGCAATCAAGGCTGGACTTATGCATGGACTAACCTCAACTTGTATGGGGCCCCTAGGTATTTTTCCTGGTTGTTACAGCAGTATGCGTGCTCTTAAATACAACTGACCAGGCAGAACATGGTAATCGCTGCTTTCCATTAAGAGTGCTGATTTGATTAGGCTAGGCAAAGAAGTCAGTCATCTTCCAACGACATCAAGAACGTCTCTAATTTATTTGACATTATGTTATATTATTTTCTGAGACGTCGAGCAAATAAAATGTGTTACTTTCGTTATTATGGGGCAATTTTACCTTCCACAGTTGCAATGACAGACGCGGTCCTCTCCTCGTAAATGCGGTAAGATATAGTTGTGAAAGCGATCCAGTAGCGCGTTCATGTCCATTAAACACGCTATCGCCTGCAAAGAACCATTTGAGTCAATTGGGGCAAAGCAAGCAGTATTCCGACAACAGCAACCCCCATACGACCTGAAAAAGCGGTTCACGGGAGACAAATCACATAGATATCTACAAAAATCCACAAATGATTAAAAAAAAAAAACCAAAAAAAGTGCTCCAGAAAAAAAAAATGTCCTTCGTTTAAGTATTACGAATACTGCAAATACACTTCAATTAGTCTGCATGCATTCTCAGAATCCTTATCTTCGTGTAGTTTTCTGTGCCAAAAATGTGCACTTATGTATTTTCAGAATTTCAACCAGGCAAAAATTACATTAACACCTTCTTTTGAAAATATCATAAAAGGCGTGAGGCATGGGAGTGTAGAAATTCTTCTTACCATCACCATTGCAGCCCCCAGAATCATAAAGATCATCGCGGAGGTGATCATATGCATTAAAACTTCCCAAACTGATTTTTTCTCCCTCCGTTCCCACGTTCAGTCCAAGGTTTCGGTCAAATCAAACACCCTGCCCCAAGCAGCGACTCTCCATAGAGGTTTACCGCAGCTGATACTTCGGTACCTCCTAGCTCCCCGGCAAGGACCGCAATGTTTCGCGGCATAAGGTGCCCTGATTTCCGCGGCTCATGCAAAAGTCTCTCTCCTGATTTCACTATGCGGCGATTGTATCCTACGTTGAAGTTGAAATAAATGGTTTCCCCGGTAAGAGAATACAGGTTGAGACGCTGGTCTGGGTTAATGTTTCTTTAAAGATTTTTCTTAGAAAAAATGCATTCCTTTCCGTTTCGTGACCATTCACAAATCTGGGCAAGGTCGAAGGAGGAGGTAAAACCCAGTGAAGGGTACCACTACTCTGCCCTGATATGTATTTGTTCCTTCAAATGTTGTCCATTTGCTTTCTTAATGAATTCCCTGAATCATCGGCTGATCGGCGTCTTTCACTAAGTGGTTTTTTCACTCGGTTAACACTAATCCTACTGTCCATTTGATAGCTGTCATTAATGCTGTAATTTCAGTAACGGCTGTGTCCGATCGAAGGCTTGTTGGAATTGGATCCTCCCCTTAATCCAGTGGAGATGCTGCGGCGGCTTTTGCATCATCGCCCGGGGAAAGAGATGTCCGTATCCTATCTCCTCGCTCCCTTCATCGTGGCCAGTTCCTACGTACGATTCTCCGTGTGTCTGAGAGATATCAAAGGTCGATATACCTTACGGAAGGATGCCCCAGTTTTTCCCCCTAAATGTTGAGATGTAAAGTAATGCACAAAACAAACGGCGAATTACCCCCCTCACGCACGATCTCTCCCTCTTTAGTGCGTGACATTGCAGGTCAAATTTGTATTCTGCGCCATTCCGTAGGGCAGGGCTTGCTTTGTGTACGGCTCCCAAACTATCATCGCTGAGTCGAATCATGAGCCATAAGGAAAGGCAATTAACCACGGGGAGCGCTCAGATTATACAGAAACACTGAGAACCAGGTCGCCCGTATTGTCATTTAGTTCCCAGCAACTAGATTGAATGGAAAATGCGGCTACGGGCTCATGTCTTGGTCATTCGTAAGGTAAGGAAGAGGATCTTACCCAAGGGACTGATAGGCTGGCTATATTTATGTTTGACCTATATGGCTTTTGAAGAAGGTATTGGAAGGGTGGGATATAATTAAGTTGCAAATTGTGAAACCTGGATTATCCGTTTTCGGGAGCTCTCTTACGGTTTCTTACTGAAAGAACAAAACTAGAAGAAACAACTGAGAACCATATATAACGTAATTTAAATAAAGAGGCATGCTTAAGCATTGCTACTTCTAATGTATTTTCATTAGAGAATTGAAATGGAAGCTATGAGATACCATGTTTTAATTCGAAATGGGGTTTTCTCCCAGTGGTGGTGGTTCCTATTAAAATGCACTTTGCTGTTAGCGGCATCTTAGAGGGACAGCAATGTGATCTTGGTGTGGCTGGAGGATGAGCCAATCAGAAGGCAGCTGCACAGAGACGCTGACATTTTTAGTGGATGTTTCGGAGGATGTTGGTGACCGCAACATACCGGTAGTTAGGCATGAAATCAGTATCTTACAAATGTTAAAATATTGTGGAGAAAAAAACAGAAGCCTATCGTGTTCATTAGGCAAAATAATTCCACAGCTTACAGACGCATTAACAAAACTTTCTAGGATGTGAGCCAACAATTGTTTGCCCACATCTTTCCATGGCTTAACCAATATAGTTAGCTTGCAGTGAAGAGAATAAAAAAAAGCATTAGTCAGATCACATTAACTTAATTTATGCAACAGTGTACTTATGCTACAGTATTTATATAACACATATATAATTGATTTTATCTAGGTTTACATCAATGTAAAGGGAATTTTACATATAGCTCTTAAGTGAGTCCTCAGACAGGTGCATCCAGACATCACCCTAAAATTGAACAGCCTTTATTTTATCTTTTACCAATGACAACATTGCACCCTGAAAATTAATCAAATGTTTGTGGACAGAACTGTTGCCTCATATTTTAACGGCTATGGGTTCAAATCCCACCTCTTCTCCCTGTGTTTACACCAGCTTTCTCTGGCAGTTCAGCTGACTGGCATTTCTGAACTGCCCACAATGCATGATTTGGTGCCTGTGTGTTTGTGTACTGCACTGTGAACTGCCCACAATGCATGATTGGGTGCCTGTGTGTTTGTGTACTGCACTGTGCTGCCATCCCATCCAGGCTGTACTCCAGCCTTATTCTTGTGCTGCCTGGGATAGACTCCAGGGTCTCTCACCTCTCTGACCAGGATAAGTGGTTAAAAGACTGATGGATGTGATCTATTTAACCTTAAAATAAGCCAACTTAATGATAATACAATCCAAAGAAAGGGAAACAACTCAGTCATTGGAAAAAAGCTAAAAGACAGCATTACTGGAAGCAAGGTAGTTTGGGTGCTCAGACGACTTAGTTAAACAGCTCAGACCTTGTGCATGAAAACTCACTAACTGGTCAGGATGTGATTTTGACTCTGCACTTCCACATTAAATATTACCTTTTGAATTCTTTCCAACATCTCAATAGATGCATTGTGACTGTGGATTCAGTATGACAAACAATGCATGATATAGAACATAGCAAAGACTTTAACCCTTCTTAATATTAAACTACACTTCAAGTATTTGCTGTCTGACTTACAAGCACTCTAAACTTGATGATTTTGCATGATTTATAAAACCTAATGGAGCTAAATCGACATTTGAGTAAAGTTAAAGATTCTCAGATGTAAACATCAATTTATAAATAACTGTAATATATGAGGTTTTAACCCTGAGGCTTTTATGGTTCATTGTTGATCTGCATTCTTACTAATTAATACTCAAACACAAAAAAGGAATCAAGCACTCATCTGAATACACCTGCACATATAAAGACACACTTGTCAGTCTGATAAAAGCAATAAAAATAGCTATGAATAGATAATGTTTCATTTATGTGTCTGTCATCGTTTCCCTTGATCAAGCACATGAACAAGCCAGCAGCACAGAAGAGGACCCCTCACCTCACTCTGTCACTTTTCCTAGAGCTACAGCATGTTTTTTGTCATGAGCGTTTGACTCAACAGGAGGTGAGAAAAAGATGAGCCGACTGGATAAGATGTACCCCACTGGCTTGGTTGACACACTGGGAAGGGCACTCCTTGCTGGCAAAGTGGACACAGTAGGGCATCATGCCATCACCTGGGCATATTTGCCAGGGTGAGAGAGCCTAGCAAATGTGTCCAGAATTAGTTTAAGGCAACAAGGTGCTGCTCCCCCACCCCTCAAACGGCCGCTCCACGAATCTGCGTGACTTAAAGCAGGCGAGCGCAAACACAGTGGCACTGCAGGTGCAACAGAAGGAGATGCTAATATCTCAGTGCAGTGCAGTTACCAGTAGCTATGTGCTCATGCTATGTACAGCACAGTCACTGGCTGCAATGTGTTACTGCTTCAGCACAAGGGTTAACGGAAGCACTCAGTGCTAATGCCTCAGTGTTATACAGTCCATATAAATGGGTTTCTGCATTAGTAGGCGAGTGATAGCAAGTGAATGATGTGCCTCTTGTACAAGTTTCAGCTGGTTGACACAGCATCACTTCTTGAGTTCAATAGTCAGTAGAAACAGACAGTGTGCAGGAAGGATCGATTGCTCTTTTCCTCGAACTCCTGTAGCAGATCATCCATCTCGTTCTCCATGTCATCGGTATTCTGGATCTGTCAGAAACGGTCACAAACACAGCCGACACTGTAATATTATTTTGCATATCTTATGGTTTAATCCAATGGTTCTCAATCCTGTTCCTGGAGGATCCCCCTGGCAGAATGTTTTCATTCCAACCCTACCTTAATCAGGCACAGAGAGTCCTTAGTAGGCTAGTAATGAAAGTGGCAGGTTGAATGTAGTGTGGGTTGGAATTAAAACATTTTGGCAGGGGGTCCTTCAGGAGCAGGATTGAGAACCACTGGGTTAACCCAAGAGGCGGCATGGTGGTGCAGTGGTTAGCACTGTTGCCTCGCACCTCTAGGATCTGGGTTCGAGTCTCCGCCTGGGTCACATGTGTGTGAAGTTTGCTTGTTCTCCACGTGTCGTGGTGGGGTTTCCTTCGGCTACTCCGGTTTCCCCCCACAGTCCAAAGACATGCTGAGGCTAATTGGCGTTGCTAAATTGCCCTTAGGTGTGCATGTGTGAATGACTGGTGTGCGTGAGTGTGCCCTGTGATGGGCTAGCCCCCCATCCAGGGTTGTGCCCGTTGCTTCAGGGATAGGCTCTGGACCCCCTGCAACCCAGTAGGATAAGCAGATTGGACAATGGATGGATGGATTGATGGGTTAACCCAATGCTATTTTCACATTCACCATTTTACACATTGGGAAATTTTCTTGAAGTAATGAGTTATACACCTTGATCATGTGCACTGTGGTGCTGTGAGCTTGTTCGAAGGCAGGTGGGTGTGTACACTTGTGCATGTGGCTTTTTGTGTATCTCAATATGATGCCCTCTACAGTAAAGATAAGGAAGCCCGTGTCCTTAACGTTACAGCTACTTTTTATAGAGGATATATCAAGAATATGGGAAATATTTTGTGAGGCAGACATTTTTAGCACACAAACACAGCACAGTGTGGGAGCTTGATCCATCCTATTTTACGAAAACAGGACACTGTTCTCTGATTCACTCACAAGTGTTGCGTAAGTATATTAAATCTGAAGAAAATGCAGTATAAGTGCAATTACATCATGTCTCAATTAGAGTAATATAGAATATAGTCCTGGAAAATTATATGGCAACCTTCATACTGCAAGTCCATGTCACTCAGCAAATGTTGCCTGCTTTGCCTAAAACCATAAGTTTTCTCAGTGTCAAAACATTTTCATATGTCAAGCAAAAACTTTTATTGCTACTTTATGGAATAACTGTAGTGAACTACAAGTTCACTTAATGCTGAGAATAAGTAAAGACCACTTGAAGTTTATCTTTTTCAACATTTACATGTGTATATAGTAAAACTTGTATTGATAGACATAAGTGAAATCTAACAAAACAATGACATTTTGATATCAATTATTCAACAAAATTCAACAGAAAAGTAATTTCTCTCTGTGGGGAAAAGGTAATTAGTTACACATTTATTATAACCATCTCAGATTTGTACACTGACCTGTAGATTTTGTTCCCATCCCTCTAAGCATGATTCCACTCACTGTGTGATGTGGGGGGGCTTCCTGCATGTGCCGCCCTCCTCTAGCCCCACCCACTTCAACTGGATTAAAGCCCAGACTTCGCCTTGCTCATTCCATAACCCCCATTCCTTTGATTTGAGTCACTCCTTTGCAGAATTGCTTGTACATTTGGAGTCATTATCATGTGAGGACCAAGACCGTCATATTCTCCTCAAGCATTGGTAGATGTTATTATGACACGTTGGTCGGGCCCTGAAGTGCCAAGGCCTCCCCAAAGCAGAACACTCCCACCACCAAGCGTCACACTTATCAAGTTCTTTTTCTCAAATGCTGTGTTTCTTTTCTCACAAAAAATTAGAATGTTCATTATATATATATATATATATATATATATATATATATATATATATATATATATATATGATTACTAAATGTAAACTACTGAAGTGTAACTTCTTCAACTTTACCATATTTTTCTAACAGTATTCTTGAAATTAAGATCTAAAATTTGTCGTTTGTTGATATTTTTTAAAGGGGTGTACAGGTATTTTAATGCCACTGTAAGTACACATCACCAAGCAAGCACCCAGTTACCCAGATACAGACTGACGCTTCCAGGTTCAAACAGAATCCTGAGACCCAGTGATTTGTTTGACTCTCAAACGTTAAAACACAGGTAAAGTTAGGAGAGTCACTCACACACTGACACAGCTCGCAGATGACAAAGGCACCCAGGGTAGCTTCCTCGTGGTTATCCTGGATGTCCACGTTAATGACATGCACTGGCTGGAAGGTCTCCTGTTCCCGAGAGTTCAAGTCTGAAATGGACAGGAACATAGAAAGGGAACTGACAACCGTACATTTACATGATAAACCAAGCTGGGAACTTTAAACTGGGTGCAAAATTGTAATACCAGTACAGTTTGCAAATGTGTTCACTGACAGACTGACCTTCCAACACCTGATCGTAGACCCGCTCCTCACACGTGATGACTAAGTCAAACTTTTCTTTGCAGTCCTGAAAACGCTCAGGTCGCGGCTTGATGCGTTTGTTGCGTTCTAACATGTGCAGGATCCCATTTTGCGTGTATCTGGATCACAGTAGGTCAAGGAAGACCACATGTCAGGGCCCTTAAACAGCAAAAAGCCCACCCAGCAATCCATCGTCCATAGCTGGTTATCCATCAGAGGGTCACAAGGAACCTGTAATTTATCCCAGGATATAAAGGGCACAACCTGGAGAGAGTGCTGCTCAGGGCTCGCGAATGCTAAGGGAAATTCATGGACACAAAGTCGCCAAACTGCATGTGCTTGCACTGTGGAAGCATGCCAGAACACCAAGAGGACACCCACGCAAACGCAGTGAAAATGTGCAAATCTGACATACAAAGCAAGGCTGGCAATCAAACACCCTGGAGGTGTGGGCCCCCTGTACCAGTTCCCAAAGCAGCAAGCACTCTGACTAATATGCAGCATTTATTTCAAGAAAATGTCATTTCAAATGATAAATTAATGACTCCTGGTGGGACCCATATTCATAAAAGATAAAACTAAATAATACTGTTCAAGATGAGTCTTACATGCTCCTTTTTCCATCCAAAGAAAACCTAGACAGCAAGCCAACTGTATGCAATAACAGATGTATAGGGGCCTTCTGGGTCTGATTAATGAGACTGTAAAATTAACACACTTCTCCAGTTGTCCTAAATGAGATTAGCAGCCAAGGGTAGAAAAATGCAGTATCTCTCATTGCACTGTTTGGCATTCAAATTATGTCACCACTGTGCTACAGATATGAGATGGGTGCAGGAAGTGAGAAAGAAAAACATATATATACTTCTAAGAATATTTTAATTTAAATTTCAGAAAATTGCATTCCCTACTCAGGCCAATCAAGGTTTCGTTCACTATCTTTCATGCTTAAATCATTCTCGCTTAATCCACTCTGCACATATTCTGCCAACTCCCACTACATTATGTCTACGTCTGACATAGGAGGGTAACCTGAAGGGCAAAGGAGAAGCTGTGTGGGTTTTTCTTGGAAGAGAACAGTGAGAGAGGCAGAGAATAAGCAAGGGGGACAAGGGGAAGATAGTGACTGGAGTGCTTGTGTACTGTTCCCTCTGCAGCGCCAGAAACCATCCACCTACCTTGCCTGAGTCACTCACACACACACACACACACA